AGGGAAGGGTATTGTTCTCCACCTGAAGTGATTTTTTCCCAAGCTCTAATGCACACTCCTCTAAGCTGTTCTATGGCATCATCCTGCATGACTACTTGTGCATCTAAACTAGCCCAGCTGCCGACCCCCAAAAGCTGGTCTGCAGTTACATTAATTTGAAGTTAGGCCTGGGCGTTGTGAGAAGCCTGAAGGGAAGCTTCATCTGCCCACCAAGTTTTAAATTGTAAGAACTGAGCAGGAGTTAGACAAGCTCGAGTAAGAGCATCCCAGTCAGTAGGAATCATCCAACTGGAAACAGCAACATTCTTTAACAGTCCCATAACAAAAGGAGAACCTGGTCCATATTGATTAATAGCTTGTTTAAATTATTTGAGTAATTTAAGAGGAAAAGACTCAAATGTAGCTATAATATTTCCCCACTGATCTATAGGATGTATTCTAACAGGGAAATGCCAAGCCTCTAAATCACCCTCTCTTCTAGCTTGCTGAATTCCTGCCTGAATAGAACTGAGAGCGGTCACTCAAGGTGCTGCTCAAACAGTCACTGGGGCAACTACTTTTCACCCAGTGTCCTCCAGAAAAGAAAGATCTAGAGGATCAAGCCACTCTTTTTTTTTTTTTTTTTTCCCCCAAAATAATGAGGGTGTGCAGAAGAGTAGGGATGAACCTCTTCCTCCTTTGCTGCTTTAGCTTTAGTTGGCAAACAAACTTACTCTGTTACTTCTTCTGTTACTTTGTTATACTTTCCTTCTTCTTCATCATCAGTGTGAAAAGGTTCCAAGGTGGAATGAACCAGAGCCCACACTTGTCCCATTGTTACCCTGATGCTTCCGAGCTCCCCTTCTTACTCACCATGGGGTTTGCTTAAGAGTACTCGGGTGTCCTCCAGCTTAGTTCCACATTCTCCAACTGTTGCTTTGGTGACCCTTCGACCTGGGTTCGAGCCTCCACGTTGGGTGCCTCTTGCTGAGACCAGCTCGGTCATGGAGACCCTAACCCAGCAGCGCTAGAGGAATTAAAGACACACACATAGAAATACAGCATGTGGTTGGGAAATCAGCTCACAGACTTCAGAGCTGAGAGCTTCGAACAGAGATTTACCCACATATTTATTGACAGCAAGCCAGTGATAAGCATTGCTTCTATAGATTGTAGATTAATTGAAAGTATTTCTTACAAGAAACGAAGGAATGGGCTAAAATAAAGGGATGGGCTCTGGCTAGTTATCTGCAGCAGGAACATGCCCTTAAGGCGTAGATTGCTCATGCTATTGTTTGTGGTTCAGGAATGCCTTTAAGCTGTTTCCCACCCTTGGTGGACCAGGTGTTCCTTGCCCTCATTCCAGTAAACCCATAACCTTCAGCGTGGGTGTCATGGCCATCACCAACATGTCACAGTACTGCAGAGATTTTGCTTATGGCCAGTTTTGGGGCCAGTTTATGGCCAGATTTGAGGGCCTGTTCCCAACACAATAGCAAATTCAAGGTTCAATGTGGAGTCAGGCACAGTGGTTCATTCCTATAATGCCAGTACTTTAGGAGACCAAGGCGTGTGGATCACTTGAAGTCAGGAGTTTGAGACCAGTTTGACCAACATAGCAAAACCCAGTCTCTACTAAAAATACAAAAATTAGCTGGGCATAGCAGCACACGGCTGTAAACCCAGCTACTCAGGAGGCTGAGGCAGGAGAGTCACTTGAACCTGAGAGGCGGAGGTTGCAGTAAGCCAAGAGTGCACTACTCCACTCCAGCCTGGGGATGGAGTGAGACTCTGTGTCCAAAAAAAAAAAAAAAAAAAAAAAAAGGTTCAATGTGAATGAGATGTATAATAAAATGGTTCCTCTAAAATCTTACCTTCTACAGAGCATATATTCTAAGACACTCACATAAAAACCATTTATTGAATATGGTTTTTGAATAGCACCTATGGCCAAGTGTTATTCACTAATTAATTCAACAATTTATTCAGTGCATATTGTGTGTCAGGTGCTACTCAGTGTGCAGAGATAGGCACCGCAGACACAAAGATTAAAGAATGTCAAAACACAGGAGGGGAAAGGGAACTCTAGGAAAGCATCTAGATTTAAATTTTATATTACTATTTACTAGCTGTCTGATATTGGACATGTTTCCTAAGCATTTTCAGCTCCAGTTATCTTATCTGTAAAAGGGAATAATAAACACACTCCTTATACTATAGGGCTTTCTGAAGATTGTTCTAGTCATTATGTGGAATGGATAGTAATGAGGCAACACAGGAACGAAGAAGGGAGAGTTAGGGAGCTATTGCAACAGTACTGGGAGAGTCCAGGGTCATGACAGGAGTGGTGGGAAATCAGCAATCAGGATATATTTGGGAATTTGAACGAATATGACCTAATGGGTGGTGGTTAATTTGATGTGGCATACGAGGGAAAGAGCGGAATCAAGGATAACTACTAGAGTTTTGACTGAAGCAACTGTGTCAATGATGGAGTCATTTGATTGGATTGGTAAGACTGGAGATTTCTAAGAGAAAATTGGGTTGTATTTTGTATATGTTATATCTGAGTTACCTATTAGACATTCAAGTAGACTCCAAATAGGCATTTGAATGTATAGATTTAAACTAAAGGGAGTATCTGGAGCTAAAGGCCTAAATATAAGAAACAGCAATGTATTGATGGGGATTATACCATGAGATAAAGTTAATTGATTAGATGGAGAAAGTAGAGAGAACAAAGAAGACTAAGGACTGGTCTCTGGATTACACCAACAATCCAAGCTCTGGTATAAGGCAGGGGTCAGCAAGGGAAACAGAGGAGCAGTGAAGTCAAAGGAAAACTAGAAGCATGTGGTGTCCTGTTTAAAAAACTCAGGATAAAGGAAAAATCAATAATCTCAAATTCTCCTGAAAGTTTGAGGGAAATAAGTCCTCAGATTTGATCATTGGTTTTGATTAGATGGGGGGTCACTGTTGGCTTTGACAATAGTAGTTTCAGTGGAGTGACACATGTTTCAGCCTGACTGAAGCATTGAGGACAGAATGGCAAAGAAGAGGAAGTGGAGGTGGGTAAAGACGACTCTTTTTTGTGGTGGTGCACACCTGCAGTCCCAGCTATTAGGGAAGCTAAGGCAGGAGAACTGCTTGAGGCCGGGAATCTGAGACCAGCCTGGGCAACAAAGCAAGACCCCTGCTCTACATGAATGAATGAATGAATGAATGAATGAGACAGCTCTTTTAATAAATTTTGCTATAAAGGGAAACAGAGAAAGAGGTCTTGGGCAAAGTGAGTACTTTCAAAGATGGTGGTGATATTTATATTCTGATGGAAATAATCCAAAAAGAAAAACAAAATTGATGATGCAGGAAAAGGGCTAAATGAAGGAGAAAAATCTTGAATAGGCTAGAGGATATGGGATCCCCACATACAAACTGAAGAATAGAGTTTAGACAGAAACCAGGACAGTTCAATCATTTAAGGAAAGAAACCAGATTGCAGAAATAAGGGCAGGGAGCTGGTAATTTGGGGGTTGGAAAGATGAGGAAGTACCTCTTCTGTTTGTTTCTATATACTAAGTAAAGTAAGAATCACAGCTTAGAGCAATGGGAAAGGGAGAAATATCCTGATTTCTAGATACTTTTTCTCCTTGGGGGCCTGGGTCACTTCATGATTGTGTGACCTGTGCAACAGCAGAGGGCTCTGCATCCCTAACGGGCCCATGCTTGGTTTAGAGCTCTGCTGTTTCCAGTTTCAAGTTCTTAATCACTTTTGAACATGCAGCCTCCATATTTTGATTTTGTACTGGAATGAACAAATTATGTAGCTACTCCTGCTAGCAGCTTTTGGATCTCTGTCATCAGCATACTAGAATTTCATCAAGTACCTTACTATGGGACTTTTTCAATCATTGTACTGAATCCAAAATTGGTCTTTTTCAAAGAGTAATTAAATGTCCTTCCACACTAAGAAACTTTCTTGAATTGCTTCACTGGTAATTCCTTCCTTCTCTTTTTTTCTTCCTGCAAATCCTATATTCTGGATATTAAAGCTCTTGTAGAATTCTCTAGTTTTCTTAAAATTTTCCTCCCATTACCCTCCTATTTTCTACGTCTTTGTATTTTTGTTCTACTTCCTGGGCAATTTCCTTATCTTCCAGCTCAAATTCTGTCAAAATTTTCCTTCTGTCATATTTTTGGTTTATTCTTTATTTCTTAGGTAACGATTCATGTTTGTAAAGCCTCCTGTTTCTGATTCATAGATTCTTCTGTGATATTTAAGATTAACGTAAATTTTTGTTTTGGTTTTGTTTTCTTTTGCTACTGGCATTTTCTGTTTCTTTTGAATTTTGTTTCTATGTTGTTTTGTTCTCCATCTCTGGCATAAAGGACTCCTCTCTAATGTCTAGTGATCCTTGGTTTTGCATACATACTTAAAAATAAGACAGTAAATGTTATTTGAAAAATGTGTAAGCTGTGTGAAACTTATTGACTGTGGGCTTTGCTGCAAGATGAGTAGATTTCAGATATTTTATTATTTTTTACAGAGTTCCACTGGTTTCCTCAGACAATAAGTTTCCCTGATTGGCTGCTTAGATATATGTAAGTCTGGAGATCATTCTGGAGATCAGTGGAGAACAGTGAACTGACATCTCACTATTTAAAATACTGTCTTTATTTATTTTCCCTATTTTCAATATGGTGTCTCATTTTTCTTCCTCCTGAGTCCAGAGATTTTTCTGGTTCAACAACTTTATTGAATAAATCTTGTTTCCTGCTGTAGTAAGGGAAGGGTCATCACCTAAAGGCACAGAATCGAACGGAGATCTGAAGAGCTAACTGCTCTTTTATTATCACTTAATCCTTCCGTTATCCCTATCATCTTTCATATTCACCTATAAAGTTACCAGTTTCTCCCATTTCTGATGATATACTAAATTCCATGGCATATACGAGTTGAATTTTTATTGGAGTCTGTATTAGTTTGCTAGGGCTGCCATAATAAGATACCAGAAACTGGATGGCTTAAAACAACTGAAATTTATTCTCACAGCTCTGGAGGCCAGAAGTCCAAAATCAACATATCAGCAGGACCATGCTCTCTTTAAAGGCTCTAGTGCAGGATCTGGTCCAGGCCTCTCTCCTGGCTTCTGGTAGCCTCAGACATTTCCTGGCTTGTAGATGCTTCATTCCAGCCCTCCATTTTCACATGGTCTTCTTGCTGTGTTTCTTCACATCATCTTCTCTTGGTGCATGTCTGTCTCTGTATCCAAATTTCTTCCTTCTATGAATACATAAGTTATATTGGATTAAGACCAACCTAATGACTTCATGTTAAATGACTAAATCTGCAAAGACTCTTGTTTCTAAATAATGTCATGTTCTGAGATAGCAGAGGTTGGGACCACAACACATCTTCTTTTAGGGAAACAATTCAACCTATAACAGCCTCTCTCTCCCAGTTCTCTTAGGTTTCAACTGTCTCTAGTCTGTTAAATCTGTTAGGTCTTTTCTATATTTCTAGATTTCAAAACTTTGTTGAATATTTCTTCCGTGTTGTCACTTCTTTTCTAGTTATCTTTGTCTTTATATGTTTATTATGCAAAAGAAAATTGTGTATGCTCAATATGCTACACTTATTTTCCAGAATACTTTAAAACTTAAATCATATTACATTAATGCCCAGCTCAACCATCCAATGTTTTCCTATGACACTGAGAATAAAATCCTAAATCTCTATCATCACCCACAAGGATCAGCCCCAGCCTAGCTCTCTGAAGGCATCTCCTAACTCTCTGCCTTCACATGCCCCACTCCTGCCACATGACCTTCTTAATATTCTTTAAAATTGCCAAGCATGTTCCCACCTCAAGTCCTTTGGATTTGCTAGTTTCTCCTCCTTCAAATATTCCTGAGGCTTCCTGCCTCACAAGATTTAGGTTTCTATTCAAAAGACTCTCACAGAGATATAAACTTCCTTGACTATTGTCTTGGTTTGGTTTCTTCCAAAACCAACTCCAAAACCAGAATTGGGTAGAAAGAGTCTATTTGGAAGGCAATCCCTGAAAGCAGAGTAAGGAAATAGGAAAATGAGGCAAGGAAGAGAAGAAATTAAGAGTGTGCTGATGAGTGGGTCATTACTGTGGGCACCTGAGACTTCACACCACTGGAGACACTTAAGAACTATCGCCAACCCCATCTCTCACTAGTTGAAGAGATTGCTTCTGGGGACATTAGTCGCCAGTCTGCCTATGTGCTGTCAGAGCTGGTACTGGAGGCAGAGAACATAATAGGCTCCCAATAAACATTTGTTGAAATAATAAATGGAATGTGGAGAATTTTCTGGAGACACCAGGTAGAATAAGTATAAAAAAGAAATCTAGAAAAAGATGTTAAAGCATATTATTGATTTAAAAAACTATCTACTTAGTAACTGAAATTAATGGTAAAAAAACAAGCAAAAACAAGCTGGGCACAGTGGCTCACGTCTGTAATCCAAGAAGTTTAGGAGGTTGAGGCAGGAAGATTGCTAGAGGCCAGGAGTTCAAAACAAATCTTGGCAACATAGCAAGACTCTATATCTACCAAAAAATTAGAAAGTTAGTCAGGCATGGTGGCACGCACCTGTAGCCCCAGCTACTCAGGAGACTGAGGCAGGAGGATTGCTTGAGCACAGGAGTTGAGGCTGTGAGCTACGATCACACCACTGTACTCCAGCCTGGGCAACAGAGTGAGACTGTTTTTTAAAAAAAAAAAAGAAAGAGAGAAAATAAGATAGAAGATAGTACCATAGAGTGCTTCTGTTTTTGTTTTTTGTAAATATATTTATGTATATTATTTACAGTACTAATCCTCTGTCCGAAAAAGACTTCAAAATACAGTAGCTTAAATAAGATTCAACCGTATTTTCCTCTAATGTTACATTCAGATACAAGCAGTCTGAGACTGATAGGGCAGCTATCCTTGACATGATAATATCTATCTCTAGACTCAAAATAGTTGTTCCACTCTCTCCATCCCGTTGCTAGTGAAAAGAGGGGAAAATTCTAGGAGAAAAAAAAAATAGGTCCATTCCTTTTGATTTTTTTTTTTTTTTTTTTTGAGATGGAGTCTGTTCTGTCGCCCAGGCTGGAGTGTGGTGGCATGATCTCAGGTCACTGCAACCTCTGCCTCCCAAGTTCAACGGATTCTCCTGTCTCAGCCTCCTGAGTGGCTGGAACTACAGGTGCATGCCACCACACCCAGCTAATTTTTGTATTTTTCATAGAGACGGGGTTTCACCATGTTGGCCAGGATGGTCTCGATCTTGACCTCGTGATCCACCCTCCTCGGCCTCCCAAAATGCTGGGATTACAGACGTGAGCCACCGCGCCCACCCAGGACCATTCCTTTTAAAGAAATAACCCAGAAAAGGCACGCATTATTTTTACTCATCCCATTGAGTAGAACACAGTCACATAGCCAAACCTAGATCCAAGGGAGCCTAGAAATGCAATCATTCACCAGATGTGCCTAGATAAAACTAAGGAGTCGATGATTAAAGGAAGAACGGAGAATGGTTATTGGTGAGTAAATAACAGTCTCTCCCACACATAAATATACTTGAACATGAACAATTTTGGAAGAATAAGAATTTCTGGGAAGTTAGAATGGACTCCCAGAGGTCTGGATTAGAGAATGGCTTACTTGTTTGGTAAATCATTGTGTATTATTTGGAATAATTGCTGAGTATGTACATGGTACAGTTGGATGTTTTCTCCTCCAAACCTTATGTTGAAACGTGGTCTCCTGTGTTGGAGGTGGGAGCCGATAAGAGACGTTCGGGTCAGGAGGGCAGATCACTTCTGAATGACTTGATGCCATTCTTGAAGTAATGAGTAAGTTCTTGTTCTGTTAGTTCCCAAGAGTTGGTTGTTTAAAACAGCTTGGCACCTCCCCGCACCCCTTGCTTTCTCTCTCACGATGTGATCTCTCCCCTTCACCTTCTGCCATGAATAGTAGCAGCCTGAGGTTTTCACCAGATGCCCAACCTTACAGCCAGCAGAGTCATAAACTAAATAAACCTTTTTGCTTTATAAATCACCCAGCCTCAGGTTTTCCTTTACAGCAACACAAATGCATTAAGGCAGAATATTACTTTAGTGGCATTAAACATTTATTCTTACCACAGTCAGATGCAAAATAAAAGTTTAGTTTTTTTGGTTACCATAAATGGTCACGCATTATCTCCCCACTGAGTAGCAGCAAAAGGGATAAAATTTTAATTTTTGAATTGTGGTATCTTTATCTCTCAGACTCTTAAAAGAGTGTGAAAACTCAGTCTTTTTTGTTTTATTTTGTTTAAGTATCTACTTTCAAGTCACTCCCACCTCTAGAAACTTTTGCTGAGTGGCATGAAGCTGCATGGATGGCGAGGGCTCATACGCTCTCATGGCACTCTGGAAAGTGGTAGGTCTGCACTAGTCCTTGTCTTCAGATGCATACTGCTCCTGACGAGTGGTTGGCAAGGACCCATGTCAGACAATTTACTCTCTGTCAGACAGATTTTGGAGAAGAATGATCAGGAGCGTGAAAGACACCCTGTCTCTGCACATTCACATTGCTGCACCCATTTATTCTGTTGGGGCTGCTCCATACATGTCTCCCTGCAAAGTGATGAACACCCAGCACACCAAAGGAATGGGACAAACATCCTCTGCCCTCAACATCCACTCACCAGAATAAATGTTGCCATGTCCTCAACTGATTTAGCACTTTTTTCCCCCAGGATTTCAGCATGAAGAGAAGCAGTCAAGACATGTATATCTCATTGCTTTCTTACTATCTCTCCTTATCATTCACCTGGGGACAGAACAGGCAGATTCAGGCTTTCCTCTTTCTTCCAACCCCTCTTTTCTCCTAGAATAGCAAACTTCATGGCCTAGCCATCATTGTTAGAGGCAGTACCATTTCAAAGCTGGGAAGAACTGCAACAACCTAAGCTCCCAGACCTGATTCTTCGTATGTTAATGGGAGCTACACAATTTGGAAATTCTTTTTCTTTCTCCACTAAGACTAGATTTCAAGATTATTATAAGAAATCCTTTTTGGTAGTTGGAAGTGGCATCGATTTTTTTTTCTACTTTTTATTTAAAAATTGCAAAACTACACAATAGTAGAGAAAATTTTTTAAATGTGCATCATACAGATGCATATAATTGTTTCATCTATAACTCACCTTCTTCTGTTGGACTTTTTAAAAAATAATTTCCAGTTTTATTTTAGATTCAGGGGGTACATGTGCAGGTTTGTTACCTGAGTATATTGCATAATGCTGAGGTTTAGAGTATGATTAATCCCAAAGCTACCATAGGTAGTTTTTCAGCCCCTTGCTCTTTTCTCTTATTCCCCCCTCTAGTAGTCTCCAGTGTCTATTGTTGCCATCTTTATGTCCATGAGTACCCAATGTTTAGCTCCGATTTAGAACTGAGAATATGTACTATTTGGTTTTCTGTTCCTACATTAATTCATTTAGGATAGTGGCCTCCAGCTGCATCCATGTTCCTGCAAAAGACATAATTTTGTCCTTTTCCATGGCTGCATAGTATTGCATGGTGTATATGTACATTTTCTTTTTCCAATCCACCATTGATGGACGCCTAGGTTGATTCTATCTCTTTGCTATCGTAAATAGTGCTGTGACGAACATATGAATACATGTGTCTTTTTGGTAGAATAATTTGTTTTTCTTTGAGAATATACCCAGTAATGAGATTGCTGGGTCAAATGGTAGTTCAATTTCTAGTTCTATCAGAAATCTCCAAACTGTTTTCCACAGTGGCTGAACTAATTGACATTCCCACCAACAGTGTATAAACATTCCCTTTTCTCTGCAGTCTCGCCAGTATCTGTTATTTTTTGACTTTTTAATAATAGCTATTTTGACTGGTATGAGATGGTATTTCATTGTGGTTTTGATTTGCATGTCTCTGGTGATTAGTGATGTTGAGTATTTTCTCATACATTTGTTGGCCACTTGCATGTCTTCTTTGAGAAATGTCTGTTTGTGTCTTCTTGTGCTTGTTGAATTAAGCTCCTTCTAGATTCTGGATATTAGACCTTTGTTGCATGTATAGTTTGTGAATATTTTGTCCCATTATGTAGGTCCCAGCTACTTGGGAGTTTGAGGCAAGAGGATTGCTTAAGCCCAGGAATTGGAGGCTTCAGTGAACTATGACCAGCCACTATATTCCAGCCTAGGTGACGGAGTGAGACCTTGTCTTTAAAACATACACATAGATAAAA